TTTCACCAGGTTGCCCGGGCTGCCCTTGAACTCCTGAGCTCAATCAAATCACCCGCCTTGGCATCCCAAAGTGTTGGGATTACAGGCGTGAGCCACTGTACCCCACCTAAGATATTCTTTTAGAAAGAGAAACAACAATACATTTCTTCATTCCTTATCATTGAGTTATTCTTTAATTGACAAAGACAAAAATTATCCCCTGGGCTAGAGTGACCAAACTTTAAAAATTGCCTTTGATATAGGACACTGTTGGAGAATTCAGCAATTTGAAACACATTTTACCAGCTAGTTCTCCTTTCTCCATATAGCTATTTACCCTCCCAAAGATCTCCAGTGAGTTAAATGTATTTTATCCAGATGGAAATACTGTGGCCTTTCCTCCGGTGGGTTAGCTTTACCTAGCACAAAAACAGGCACTTGACAGTTTCTCAACAAGTGCTTGCTGAATGAAATAAAATAAAATAAAATAAAATAAAATAAAATAAAATAAACCCATAAAGGAAGGAAGGAAGGAAGGAAGGAAGGAAGGAAGGAAGGAAGGAGGAGGAGGAAGGGAGGGACAGACTAACTGATCCTACTTCACAGCACATATTCTGCAATTTTTTGAACTTCTTTAAAGGGGAGGAACTATCCATTTATTTTCAATTCAGCTCTATCCTTTTGGCTCTGCATTTTCTAAATAAATGACAGCTCTGCCATGGTAAAAACATATACTGATAACTATGATGATGAGTCAGTACTGTCCCACTTTTTTTGGCACAGTGTCCTTACCCTTATAAGATGTGATGAGGAGACCCCTTCCAGATCTAGTACTCTGTGGAAGATAGAACTAAAGAGCAAATACACTAGCCCAGTTGGGGAGACATGGGAAAGCCTTCAGGGAGTTGGAGAGCAGTTTTCTAGGGAGTTGCAGAACTTCTCAGTTTTTCTGCTGGGAATTAAAAGCAACTGATCGCATTAGCTTAGCCATGTTAGAAACCTTCATTGTGCATCCTCTCCCCACGCCCTGGAATCCTCTGGAGAAGACCCACAAGGCTGTCTTGTGGAGGGTCCACCAGAGGCAGAGAAAATCTGGCAAGAGTTTGACAAGTTGTCATAGAGCCTGGGGAAAAATAAGGGAAAGCTCATTAGTTCCAACCTTTTGAAGGCAGCTGGACTGGAGGACTGGCACAGGCTTGCCCCCAAGCTCTGCTGACATTCGGTTCCTTTAGGGAGCAATAGCTGGTTCCAATGTCCTGAGCTCAATTACTGAAACTAAGATGAACCATGTGACCACAGCACTGTGTTTTCAATTATTCTCTCTCCCTTCCTCTCTCTCGGTGCCAGGCCTGGAGGGAAGGCAATCTCCCACAGAAGTCCAATTCTGGCTTCTCCGCTACAGCTCTTTTGCAATTGTTCTCTTCTTCCTTAAAAAAAAAATTTCCATAATGACAAGGCTCATTTTGAAAACTGCCTTCACTCTTAACCAAAGGATTAATTCCTTGCCCCCTGGTTCATTGCCATCTCCCATCCCATGGGCCCTGCCATCCCACATGAGAGCCTAGGTTATGAAAGTGGTGATTCTCTTCAGAATAGCTTATTTTTTCAAAGCTGTCGGTACTCATCAGACACTCCTGCAAATGGTACATTGGGATTAGCACAGTTTCCACCAAGGAATTTGATTCCTCTGTTCTCTTAAATGCTACATGCAGCCAACTATTCCACCACTGAGTGAAGCACACAACCTTACACCTAGCCCCAAAGGTCCCCAAATTTTTTTTGGTCCTGGAAAATGCCCAGTGAGTGACCTCGCTATTGCTGGGACAGTTATTGCACATTGGAAGAGGAAGTAGAAGAGAAAGGGAATCGGGTTTGAATTCCAAGAACCCGTGCAGACTGTGGCAATTCTTGGTGGGACAAGAATGCAAGAGGCTGTTATACGAGAGCCTGGCACTGGGGCATGGAGGGGGTAGAGTTGAGGCCTTGACTGGCTATGACTGGCTTCTCTCCTAGGCTTGGGGTGGGATAGGAGAGTTTCAAAAATCCTCTTGGCCCTTGGATGTCACTGTTTTCCATGCTTTATGCCAGCAACGGCAGAGAGAAGAGCCACTATTCCAGGAGGGTTTTTTTTTAAAAAAAGCAAAAAGAAGAGTCTATTTGTGTGCATAACTGCATAGGTTGATGTGGTTTCAGACATGGCTGGATCTGGATGCTCATGTCTGAACTCAGTCCCTCTCAGATTTTCTCTCTGTCCTCCTTCTTTATCTCTTTCTCTCTCCCCACCTCTATGAGTTCTGTACCTTCTGTGTTGGCTTCACTCACAGGCAGCCCCTCTACATGGTGGACCTCAGCATCCCCATGTTTATATCTTTCCTGTTTAGCACCAGCAAAGTCTGGAAGGATTTTAACACAGCAATGATTATCTTACAAATTTCCAAATGCCTAATGGACCAGTGTTAGCTGTGACCAACACACACACACACACACACACACGCACATACACACACAAATCTTTCCCCCATGAAACCCTGGTGAACTATGGGAACTCCTAAGGAACTGATCAAAATGGAAAGAAGTTTGGATATATTAATATTTATAGCGACATTGGTGTGGAGAGTCACTAGTTTTGGGAACTGGAATTGGCAGGATGCAGAGAAACTCTTGGGTTGGGGATGGGGGCAGAGGAACATTCACAATCTGCATTTGGAAGATGACATCTGGAACTAAAGGCAATAATGAGGTAAAAGAGAAAACTACTCTAAAAGCTTGAAACCTATGTCGTCTTCTGCCAGTGGATCTGAGCATTGATATACTGGTTAACAAATCCTCTAAAATGCAGCAAGTTTTTTAACCAAGCAGACTGTGACCTCTGGACTTCGGTTCATGGCTGTGGGGTTTGTAAAAGGCAGACCTGACACAACAGTTTCAGTGGCTGTAGGGAAAGGAAGCAGACTCTGGGCTGAGGCTTGAAGAGGAGGTAAGCATGAGGGGAGGAAGTACAAAGTACAGAGCATTTGCTCAAGAAGACATGAAGGGGATAAAGGAAAAGCAAGTGACAAGAGGAGGACATGGAGTTAATATGTAGTGTTTGAAAGACAGAAAAGGTTTGAGTGTGTTTATGTCCTGAGGATAAAGATCCAGCACAGAGGAAGTGATTGAGGCTAAAGGTGAGAAGGGCAATAGTCAATGAGAAGGTAGAGCCAGGGTAAAGCATGCAGGCTTCAGAGACAGATTTCCTGGTTTGATTCCTGCTTTTACTGAGTCCTAGCTATGTGATCTTGAGAAAGTCACCTAACCTCCCTGTGCCTTAGTATCTCTTCTGTAAAATGAGGATAATGATGGAGCCTACCATAGAGTTTATGAGAACTAAATAGTAAAGCAATGAGAACAATGCCTGGCACACCATAGTGAAGTTTTCAAACAGACATTGTTGGAAATGTGTTATCAAGCTGATTAGTGAAACAGTACTACTGTTGACCAGAGCTGGCGGCCCAGTTGGTGGCCGTGAATGTTTCATGGTACCAATCTGTTCAGGAGTGAGAGTGTCTCCTTCAAGGCTTAGAGATTCACAGTCAGGCATGAACTCTGCAGAGGCTTGGATTTGTCTGTGATTGGGGTTTTACTATCATTTGAGATGGAAGGACATACAGTACAAAACTTAGGCATGTTGATAAGAGGGTGCTAAATAAAATGGATCAACGCTGAAATAATTTATACTAAAACATCAAGCACAGTGCCTGATATATTGTAGACTTTCAATCAATCATTCACTCATTTTTGTTTGTTGCTATTGATTGCTGGGATGGTTGGTGAATAAATTGATAAAATCAAAGAGCTAATACAGAAAACAATAAATGTATGCAATGTGAGTATTGAAAAACAGTCTACTGTTAGGCAGAAATTCTCTTCAGAGGATATGTGAAAGGGTTTTGATGTAATGAAGTGTTATTAGGTCTCTGCTATTCCTTATTCAATACTGGATGTGCACAAACAGCAGTACCAATGGGCCAAGAGCATCCCACAATTTGTTGTTCTGGCGACAGCCTCTCTTTTGTGGCTTGGGCCTGAGTCAGAACTTTTTAGGATACAGCATCAGGGCCTCTTTCACCACCTGCTTCATGGAAACTGAATCCATGGGAGGCCCCTCTTGGCAAAGCTGAGCCGGGCTCTTGGCCTGACTGGAAAGCCTATCTTTGGTCTGTCTGGCTGTGAGAGTTTGACCCAGTGCGGGTAGGTGATGAAGCAGGAGCCCCTGGGCTTGACTGTGACTCTGGCCAAGTGTTTGACTTTAGGCCTGGAGAAAGGCACTCATGTTTGCTGGGAACCTGTTATGTGCTCATCCCTTTAGCAGGCATTTGCCAAGTGTCACCTTCTTTTATGCTCACATCAACTCTGGCAGGTCAGTGTTAGGTAAGACTTCCAACCTTCTTAGCCTTGGGTTCTTCATCTGTCAATGGAAGACATAAGACATCAGTGGTCTTCAGACTCATCTCCATGGATTCTGGGGTTTCTTTGGAGATGCCATGGGAGTTACCAAGGGTGGAGTTACCTAGGGGACCAGGGAAGTGGAACTTAGTCTTCGGTTTTCCCATCTTTGGTCTGCTCTATAGACTGGAGTTCACTGCACACTTTTGTTTAAAGAATGGCTTCCAAGTTTAAAAACTTCACAAAGCACTGGCCTCTATGATCCCTAAACTGTCTCCTGTGACTGATTACTGGCTCTTCTGCTAGTGCCTTGTGTTGGTACTTCCCCTCTCTGCACCTCAGTTCCCCCATCTGTAGAATGAGAAGTTCTGGGGCTAGGTCTCCATGATACTGGGAGTGGAGTGGGTGTTAACTGCTTGGGTTAACTGAGCCCCATTTGGCTGGCACACTGGAAGGGCCAGTGATCTTAAAGGATGATTTGCCCATCTGTCCTGCTTCATGGGCACCAAGAACCTGTGGCTCAGATCCAGGACTCGTGCAGCTCCACTTGTCAGCAGCAAGTCACATTGCTTCTTCCCATTTCCTCTTTCCTCTAGGGACTCATGAAGTGGCAGCTAAGCCCTGTCCAGTGGCCACCCGTCAACCAAGGGCCAGAGACCAGGAAAGGAAGAAAGGCAGCTTCACTTCCTCTTTGAGGATGGAGTCACACAGCCGCACGGGAAAGAGCAGAAAATCCACAAAATTTCGGTCCATCTCCAGGTCCCTGATGCTCTGTAATGCTAAGACCAGTGACGATGGCTCTAGCCCTGATGAGAAATATCCTGATCCCTTTGAGATTTCCTTGGCCCAGGGCAAGGAGGGAATTTTCCACTCATCTGCGCAGCTGGCAGACACATCGGAGGCTGGGCCCAGCAGCATTCCTGATCTAGCACTGGCCTCTGAGGCTGCTCAAATCCAAGTAGCTGGGAATGATCGAGGCAAGACCTGTAGGAGGATATTCTTCATGAAGGTATGCCTAGGCTTTGCAGGCCTGAAAGAGCTTGCAGTTGGTTTCTGGTGCTGTGAATTAAAGTCTTTGAATCCATTTATTCAAAAATCAGGAAGCTGCAGAGTTGTAATTCTGAAAGAGAGCAAGGAAAAAGTTGAGGTAGGGCCCACTGGAACTATAACAATGAGCATGGGAGTGAATCAGGCTCAGTTAACACTCTTGCTTGAGAGGTTCAGGGAAGCACTATTTCACTCTAAGGTAAACTGAGCCTAGATCCCTGATGGAAAATGCCAGATGCGGTAGTCAATACACTGGGAAGCTCTCATCTCTAGACAGGTACTATAGAACATACCATAGGCAGTTCAAATCACATCTTTCTTGTAGACTTGTAGAAACAGACTTACAGGGCCTGGGCAGATGAGGAGGCCTTTTGGCAAGCAAGGTAAGGGGTGCCAGATGAGTGAGTTTGTTCCCTGAATGCTGACTGTGAACATTTTCCAGGTGCCCGCTCCCATTTTCAACATAGGTGTAGATGCTGAAGGTGGCAAGTGTAGCCATCAATAAGGGAGCAGGAAATAAGCAGTGTTTGGGGACCTGCCAGAATTCAGAATGTTTTCCTTTCTGTTATATCATATTTCAATTTTTGTCATCATAATGAGATGGAGATTGCAGAATAGCAGAAATCTAGACTGATTAAAAGATTTCGATGTCAAACTATTCCCTATCAAGTGCTGTGCCTTCTGTGAAAGGTGAGATTTCTCAAGGGTCCAAATGGCCCTGAACCATGGGGTCAGTGCTGCCAACTCAGTGATGAGCCAATGTAGAGACATTTCTCCTATAGCCTACTGCCAGGCTATGAATATAAATAGGGAAGGCATTCTAGTACCTTTGAAAGGGGTCTGTCACGTCTGTACAGCTTGCCTTCTTCAGGAGGGAAATCACTATTTAATATACATAATGAACAACATTTCTGTTAAGGGCCTTAAGGATTGCACAGCATCCTTAAGGGCCTCACCCAGCCCAGTGTGCTCTGTAACCCATGATATGACTTCTATTGATATGTCCTGCACTCACTTAATAGGGTAGAAGGAGAAGCCAGCAGCCCAGTGGGTTTGGGGGAGGCTCACCAGGCTCCCAGGCTGCCATTAATGATGTGAAAAAATCCAATCCACCAACTGAGAGTCAAATTTATTAGTGACATTATGAATGTATCTAGATTAGCGCTTACCTAAATGAAATTCAAAAATTATTTCAAGACCTCAGCAGAATTCTAGAATGGATTATTCACATGCTTCCATTTAATATCATAGGTATTTCCTGGTCACCTATTATCTGCAAGGCACGGTGGGGGTCCAGTCTCTGCCCTGAAATAACTTACTTAAAATAGAGTAAAAAATACAGTACAAGATGGGTGTAGGAGGGCTGTGGGAGGCTCAAAGGAAAAAGGGAGCACGTCTCTGGGGGTGCTGTCATTCCTTCCTTCATTCAGTAAATACTTAAGCCAGGCATGAGAGTGAGCAAAACAGACCCAGTCCTTGCCCTGTTGCAACTTTTATTCTGATTTGGGGATACAGATAATAACAACTTGATATATAATATTATATTAAATACTGAAGGACTATGAAGAAATATTAAGCAGGATAAGGGGATAGAGAGTGATGAGGAGGGGTTACTGCTTTTTTTTTTTTGAAAAGGTAATCACAAAGCCTTCCCTAAAAATGTGACATTTTGGCAAGGACCTGAATGAAGTGGAGGGGTGTGTCACATGACCACCTGGGGAAGGGCATTCCAGGCAGTGGGAACAGCATGTGCAAAGACAGGAAGCAAGAATGTGCTTGGGAGCATCAAGGAGACCAGTATGCCTGGGGTAAAGAGGAAAGAGGAGGATGGTAGAAGACCAAGTTGAGGTGGCAGCCAGGGACTGGAACAAGGGCTGTGGCAAGGACTTGGAATTTTATTCTACGAAGGATGGGAAGCCATTGGAGGATTTTGAGTAGGAAAGTGACATGCTCAGATTGGTGCTTTAAAAGGAGCACTCTGACTACTGAGTGGAGAATGGAGTGAAACCAGTTGCGGGGACTGCAGCAATAACCCAGGCCAGAAATGATGTGACTTGGACTGAGGTGGTGTGGGTAGAGGCACTGAGAATGGCCAAGGTAGGGATTTGTTGATGCAAGGATGTAGCATGTGAAAGAATGAGAGAAGTAAACTTCAACTGCAAGTTTCAGCCTGAGCACCTGGGGGTAGAAGTTTCAGCTTGAGCACCTGGGGGTAGTAGTGGAAGGAGGTGCCCTGTCCCAACCTGCAAAACAGGAGAGGCTGGAAAAATGGTCAGGAAAATGGTGAGTTGTGCTCTTAAGGGTGCGCAATTATATTAAGCAGGGGTGGATGGGAGAGAATTCCAGGTGAAGGGACATGCGTCTGCAAAGACAGGAGAGGAGAAGTCTGAATGCTTATGCTGGGGCCTCTGGGCACAGGTGAGCACGTCTGTCACTCTGTCCTTGTACCTATTCCACGGCAGGAGACCAGATACTTGGGAATGGCTAGATGGCACGGGGAAGCAGTGGGCATGGGGAGGGACCTGGGCAGGGGAAAGAACAAACTTCACCTTTTCATTTCTTTGTGATTCACATGTGCACCACTTTTTTTTTTTTTTTTTTTTTTTTTTTTGAGACGGAGTCTTGCTTTGTCACCCAGGCTAGAGTGCAGTGGCGTGATCTCAGCTCACTGCAACCTCTTCCTCCTGGATTCAAGCGATTCTCCTGCCTCAGCCTCCAGAGTAGCTGGGATTACAGGAGCCTGCCACTATGCCCAGCTAATTTTTAAAAATATTTTTAGTAGAGATGGGGTTTCACCATGTTGGCTGAGCTGGTTTCAAACTCCTGACCTCAAGTGATCTGCCCGCATTGGCCTCCCAAAGTGCTTGGATTACTGGCATGAGCCACCACACCCGGTCCGTATTTTGGTTTAAAAAATGTTTTCACAACTCTTATCTCATTGTCTTCCTTTCCCCCAAACCTTGGGAGGAAGGTAGTAGAATATGTTAATGATGCATATTATCAAATATACATATACTAATATAATAATAGCAGTATTACTATTTCTGAAGGGCAATATGGCACAGGGGTTAGTGGTGTGGGCTCATTAATCTGACTGCCTAGGTTGTTTCTCAGTGACTAGCTGTGTAATCCTAGGCAATCCGCTTTACCTCTCTGTGCCTCAGTTTTCTCACCTGTTAAATGGAGAATGTTAAAAATAGTATATATCTCATATGGATTTTATAAGGATAATATTATAGGCACTTACATGAGAAAATTCACCTAAAACAGAACAGTGCACACAGTAATTGCTTGATAGATATTATGATGATTATTATCTCTATTTTAGCATGAGGGCCACTAATTCTGAGGAATTAAGCACTCAATGAATTCAATCACATTTATGGAGTCCCTTCAATGTGCTAGACAGTGTGCAAGAGTTATAGTTGATGGTGCTCAGAGGATAATGATGGAGACAGGGACAAACCAGATCATTCTTATTTCTGATGTGGCCAAAGTGCAGGCACAGACATGTCAGGGAAATCATGGGTACACTGGAGAGGGCAGACAGTGTGGGGAGGGGCGTCCTGGGGGAGGTGGCTGTTGAAAGCAGGATATTCCAGGAAACCAGTCTGGATGGTGGTAAGAGGTGGGAATGGGCAGAGGGATATGGGCTTGCAGGAGCTCACAGGGGCTTAGAAGAATTTGCTGGGGGTGGCGGAAGAGGTGATGAGCACGGTGAAGTCAAGTTTGAGGCAGGGATGAACTGGGACAAAAGAGAGGGGCGTTGTCCGGTTCAGAACCTGAGATCTCTTGTTCTTTTTTTAAAGGAGCACAAGTGATCCTTAAAGATCCAAGAGTGAATTCTAAGCAAGGGAGGGTTTCATTTGTCTAAGCAAGTCCTGTGATCAAAGGTGCCAGGTCAGCAAGGTCAAAGGCGACAGCAGGTCTCCTCATATCCTTTCTGGAGAAGCTCAGAGTACTCAATAGCCCACTCACTTCTCCCTTCTCGCAGGGACACTTTAGTCCATGCCCTGCCTGCCTCCCTCCCTGCCTCCCCTCGCCAGAGTGGCCCTGTACCCAGACGTGACTCAGTTGGCCCAGATGAACTCTGCAGGTTCCAGCAATGCCATGGTTACACTGATTTCAAAACAACATCTGGAATGAGGCTCTGTGACGTTAGCCTCTCCTCTGGAAACGCCTAATATAAAAATTAAAGAAGAGGAAGTTATATAAACAGCCAACTTTTTTTTTTTTTTAAAGCCTTATTGGATGGGTTGTATTTGGCCCAGACAAGACTGGGTAAATTAATGCCTCAGGATGTGCCAAAGTGGGGCATGGACATGAAGAATTCGAACTAATTATGCATTTGAATCTGTATTGTGCATTAAAGTACTGATTAGGGCTTTTTGCTCTGGGGGAGCTTCTAGACCCCAGAAGATGAATTCAAATGGAAGAATGTCAAAAGGCAGCCTTCCTAAGTTAACAAACAAAAACAAATACAATTTATCCGACTTAGAACTTTGAAAGAGGGAATACAGGGACTCACTGGCTACTCCAGCCCCTGTCTGTTTTCAAATGGGAAGAGTATTTTTAAATGCCCTTTAAGTAGGATGTTAAGGCCAAATGGAAGGCAGCTCAGTTAGAGGGAATGAAAGCTCAAACTCTCCCTCTCCTCTTTCCTCTCTTCCTTCTCCTTGTTTCCTTATTTCTTTCTCTTTTTTCAGACATTGGCAGGCACCTGGTATGTGCTATCCTCTGGAGATAAAGAAATAGATTTGATATTATACCCTCAGGAAACTTGCAGTCTAGAGAAGGGGGCAGGTGTAAGCATAGTTAATCCTGTCCCTTGTGTCTTCCCCAACCTGAATGGCATTCCTTGCTCAGTTTTCTTAAGGAAAGGACTCATCCAGAGAATGAGTAGTGGAAGAATTATATCCTACAAAGAGACTTCTAGGTTACCTCTCATTTCCCTAGAACATT